ACTTTACCTCCTTGTTCCATTTTTTTCAAAAATTTGCACCCCACTTACTCCTACATTTAATTGACTTTTCCTTGCTATTGAAATGTTCTTATTGTTTAGCCGAGAGTTTGAAGTAGTGGCAAATGGGTTTAGTTTTCATTTTATTTTAAATTTTCCTCCTACTTTGGATATATAAGTTTGGGACTCCAATTTTGAGTATATGACTATTGATTTACTCCTATTTGGGGGGTTTTTTTCTTATTGTCATACTCTTTGGGCGGGAAAACCATATGTTGAATACATATCTTTTTAAATAAAGTATGGATAGTCCAATTAATCAAGTTACTAATTTAATTTTAATTAATTATATTAACCCATAACCTTAATTCAATTCATACCTAATATTAATTTAGCCACAAAAAGCCATGATATCAAACATTTCAAAATAAACCATAACAAATAATTTTATTGATAAAAGAAAAGTTTATAAGAAAGCTTACAGATATCGAGAAACTAATTACAACTCTGACAAATCTCTAAATCAACTCTCTAAAGCTTTTAGAAGGGAATTTTCACACTTAACTAGAGAAAAAGAACAAGATTTTTGGATGGTGATGAGGGAGAAACTGAAGAGGGGTATTTATACTCAGAGTTCATCACAGGTGGGTAGACAAGGTGGGTAGACAGGCGGCCACCAGTCAACCCATCGCCGATGCCAGTTTGGAGGGTTTTGGAATATCAGAGAAGTCTCGGTCCTCGATAGGCGGGCAGGCGCCTCCTAGCTCGCCAGAGCCATCCTTCGCTACCTGCGCGTAGTTTCGCCACCAGAGCCCAAACACGTCGTTTGCTGATTTTCGGCAAGCGGCCAGGTAGGCGACCGCCTGCTTGGTCGCATGTCGTACACTCGGCTCTTTTAACACCATTTTGCTTAAAATTTGATTCTGAAGACTTTTTCCTCGTGCTCCAACTTCAAATTCCACTCCAATAGAAAGATATAACTAATTCCTTGTTGAAATCAAATTTATTTTTATGTTTTCTTGGCCCATTCAATTTTACCATTCTAAGTATTAAAAAGATAACTTTTAATTGAAAAATATTCTTTAATAATATGAAAAATTATTCTTATGGGTAAAAAAATATGTTAAATGTGAGGATAAAATTAAGTATAAAAAGAGTTTATCAGCTTGGAAAACCACGACTAGCTTTCACATGTTTTCCCATCAACCACCACCTACGCAATAGGAAAAAACTCATGATTTCTATTCTTTGCTACTGCCAAAAGTAAATGACCCTTATACTCTCCGTACAAATGAGTACCATCTACAGTAACCAAGGGTAAACAAAATTTTAACCCTTGAATGGCGGCAAAAAATGGCCAAAACGCGTACTTAAAAAGTGGTGTGTCAACAAGAGACCTATTAAGGTCTTGACGCAATGGAACATACATGATGTCAACAACTATGCCTAGGTATGACACTTGTAAGTTGTATAACATAACTGGGAGTTGAGTGTACGAAGCCTCCCAATTATTGTATAACATTTCTGCAGCATGTATCCGTCCTAACAAATATTTTTTATAGGACACAAGTACTTGGAATTTCTTAGAGATATCATGTAAAATTAATTTTACCTTGTACCGATTCACACTTTACTAACGATCATCCTTGCAATGAACATGTATTCTATGTTGTGGTCATCTTTCATGTACCGATTCACACTTTACTAACTTCCACCTTCCACTCTTTAGTTTTTGGGCATGAGCATGCCAAAACATGGATGGTTTTTATTTTTGTACCAACATTGTAACGCCCGATAACCCGCATTTTTAGATTTGGAACTCCAAAACTTGTTTTGTGCGGTAAAATGCTTTGTAATCACATCATGGAGGGACTCAACGTTATCAAACTCCACAACAATCTCTTATGACACATTTTAAGTAAAATAAAGTTCAGCTTGAACCGGTTAAACCTCCATTTGTGCAATCTAGGCCGCTTCCGTTTTGTCGACATCGAAATCACTATACTCACTTTCATCATCAGTTTGGGATCATCAATAGGGTCATCTGCAATGAAACCCGAGCGACCAATGAGGAAGGCGTGATGGACCAAAATCATCTCTACACGTATTGTCGGACACATATATCTCCAACAAACTTAATCCTCGTGCTTTATCGAAGAATAAATCCCATGATATATTACTATTGATATCTGTCAATCTAGTATAACACACATTACCAACCATGTAAGGAAGTTTTCCGGATATTTTTTAGATGAGGCCATTACCGTCTGCAATAAAATGAGATTCAATTTGTTCTTGAATTGAATCCCATGGCAAACTCATATTGACCATTAAAGTTTTTTATACTCTCTCATGTATGAAAAGTCTTCATTAGATTGAACCATCTCACTGCCCTAATATATATTTAGAATAGATGTAATTATATGAAACGTAAATTGATGAAGGAAGTATAAAACATAAAATAATAAATAGAACAAAGTACATAAATCTACAATATAAGTCAAACAACGTAATATAATGTAATAAATATGTTGAATTAATATGAATTAATGGATTTTACTTAAGCAATAGAGGTGAATACATGTGAGTATATATAGCTAGAGATCCTAACCATACTAGGATTAGGATTCTTCTAATATGGTAACTAACTATAATACAATTCTACTATAACTAGGAATATTACTATAGTGTCTAACATCCCCCCTCAAGCTGAACGCCGTGAAACGAGTGGAAGCTTGGAAACCAAAAGAGTATAGCGTGGGGTCGGTAAGGCTTTTGTGAGGAGGTCGGCCAGCTGCTCTGCAGACGGAACATGCGACACAGTCATTTGTTCTGCAATGACCTGTTCCCGCACAAAATGGCAATCGGTACCCACATGCTTCATGCGTTTGTGAAAAACTGGATTCTTGGTTAAACAGATAGCAGACTGATTGTCACAATAGAGATGTGGTGGAGGGAGCTTGAGCTTCAGAATGTCAAAGAGATAGGAGAGCCACATCACCTCAGCAGCAGCAGCCGAGAAAGCCCGGTACTCGGCCTCGGTTGACGATCGGGATACACGACTTTGTTTCTCTGTGCTCCAGGAGATGAGATTCGAACCAAAATAAACCAAGTAACCTGTAAT